AACCTCGATTTTATGGGGCCAGAAAAACTGTGAAATAGTACCCGCTAGCCCAGGGGTCAGGAACCTTTTTGACTGGGAGAGCCATAAAAGCCAAATATTTCTAAATATATTTAATTGAGAGCCATATAGTATTTTTAACGTATAATAAATTAAATATGTCTTACTTTTAATGCGACTTCTGGTGCTGCATGGTTTTGCTGATGGCCTTGTAGTCTGGTTCATACGTGGTGAGGTTGAGCTTCATGCAGGAGTTGAGGCTTCCATCAGTTAAACGTGAGCGTAGGTTGGTCTTAATGTTCCTCATATGCGAGAATGACTGCTCACATGCATATGTAGAGCCAAACATGGTCAATACGGCAATACTCACACGCTGCATTGTGTGTTATGTCACAGGAAGCTCGTTCCAAGTTTTAAGAATCAGCTGGTCTTCAGGTTGAAGATTTTTCATTTCTGTCCACTTGTGTTCCCTCGCCAGCTCTGCTCGCTGTCGCGTAAGACTTTCCAACTCTCCATTAAGTGACTTGAACTTACTCATCCACATGTCTGATGCCTTCAGGTCAGCAACTTCCAGCTCAAAGTCTCCGATAGAGATGCATGTCAGGTCGATTTTGTCCACTGCACACTCATGTGGATGAGTGATGAACTTGAAAAGACCAGTGCGCGCACTAAATTCTCCAAAACGTGCTTTGAATGACTGCAGGAGATTGGACGTAAAGCCAGCTAGCTGCAGGAGATCCAGATGTTGAGTGGAGTCACTTGCTAAGCATGCATCTCTAAATTGTTGCAGTCTTTCAAAGTGCAGAAGACGACCTGTTTCAATTTCCCTGAGAAAGACTTCCAGCTTGCTTTTAAATGCAAACACTGCTTGTTGAAGGGATGAGATTGTATTTCCAATACCTTGCATTTTCACATTGAGCTGGTTCAGATGGCCAGTTATGTCCACGAGATAGTGAAACTGCAGGAGCCAGTCAGTGTTGTCTAGCTCAGGATGCTTGACGCCTTTCATTTCAAGAAAAGTCCGGATTTCACTCAGGCAAGTTGCAAAACGGCTGAGCACCTTCCCCCTTGACAACCAACGCACGTTGCTGTTTAAAAGCAGACCGGGATAATGATTCCCAACTTCTTCTAACAGAGCTTTAAACTGGCGATCATTTAAAGCTCGGGCAACAATAAAGTTGACCACTCGAATGACCAGCGACATCACCTCACCAAGCTCCTGGCCACACGTCTGAGCACAAAGCGCCTCCTGGTGCAGGATGCAATGAAAACTTAGGATGGCTCTCTTTTCATGTTCACGGAGAAGCGCTACAAATCCTTTGTTCTTCCCCAACATACAGGGTGTACCATCAGTACAGACAGAAATAAGTTTATCCATCGGTAGTTTTTTTTCTTTAGCCAACTCCATAAAAGACGTGAATAAATCCTCTCCTCTTGTTGTCCCTTTCATTGGCAAAACAGCCAAGCTTTCCTCACGCAGTGTGTCACCTGCAGCATACCTGGCAATTATACTGCACTGAGATAGATGGCTAACGTCTGTTGACTCATCTAACGCGAGAGAAAAGTATGTCCGGGCGTTTATGTCCTTAATTTGTGTTTCCTCGACTTGATTTGCGATCATGATGCTACGATCGTGCACAGTTCTTGCTGACAGTGGCATGTCTTTTATTCGTTTGATTATCTTGTCTTTATTTGGGAAGTCATCAAACAGTTCATTGGCCACATCAAGCATGAATGTTTTGGCATATTCGCCATCTGTGAATGGCTTTCCATTCCTTACTATTGCCAAAGCACCCGCAAAGCTAGCGGAATTCCTGTCACCTTGCTTGGTCCACACACGTAGTTGCTGCTGACTCGTCTGCACTCTCCGCTGTAGCTCCTCGCATGCCCTTTTCCTGCTGTCCCCCGCTGGATATTTCGATTCAAATGAAGCATGGTGCGTATCGAAGTGCCGCTTTATATTTGACCGTTTCATCGATGCAATTTTATCATTGCATATTAGACATACCGCAGATCCTGCTCTCTCCACAAATGAAAATTCCTCTGTCCACGCAGCCTGGAATGCACGGTAATCATCGTTTTTTTTTCTTTTCGCCATCTTTTCCGTTACAAGGGTTGAAGCGGATAAACTTGATTTCTTCACCTTTACAATGACCCGGACATGCTCGCGAGCCATTGGTTCCCGACCCGACCCACGGGTGACCCGTGACCCGTGAAATGTATCTTCAAAACTAATTTCTGTTTACTTTAAAATGACACAGTATTATTAAGAAATATCACAAGTATTTTAAAATCAGTTCCAAACTGAATTTTTTTTTTTTTTTTTTCAACTCAAAATTGTCTCGGAGCCATATGCCGTCACCGGAAGAGCCATATATGGCTCGCGAGCCATAGGTTCCCAACCGCTGCGCTAGCCGGTACTAGGCCAAGTGGAAACGCAACCAAACACGGGCCAAAATCCACAACATTCATTACACTTCCTTTAACCTGTTGAGCCCCAAGCCGGGTTTCAGGTCTCAGGCTCGAGATGACATTCGCAGAACAAATGACCATATCTTCCCTTCTAAAAGGGGACAATTAATAATCCTTGTTCTCAAAGCAATGATAAACCTGTGAGTTGGATGTAGAAAAGTCAGAATCAATATAGATGTTTTTTATTTTAAAGTAAATTCAGATTGAACATAGTAAAAAATGTATAGTTTCCGTCCAAAAAAAACCCATTACTTAAAGTGAAAACCAGCCTTGAATTAGCCGCATTCACACCGCAGGACTTTCCCTGGTACTTTGGTACTTTGGTTATTTAGTTCCGTTAGTACCAATAATGTCGCGTTCACACCGCCGGGACTACTCAGTGCCGGGAACTCTTTTGGCCATTTTCAGTCCCTGCTAGAGAGGTGGTACGAACCTGGTGATAAAAGAGTGCCAATTTCTATTCTATTTCTATTGGCTGGGCGAATTGCAAACCACGCCCCGTTAGACTCTGAATTTTTTTTGTTAGGCAGCCATTTTTTTCCTCGCTACAAAACCACATCCACACCTGAGCGAGTAGTTTTTTTGTACTTTAAAGCAGTTATGACCACACGTACTACAACACCGGAGCGGTGGAAAGATGAGGAAGTGTCGGCGCTTCTGGCAATTTACCCCGAGGACGGGATGCAGCAGCTTCTACAGAAAGCAGTTCCCAACTGCAAATGTTTTGAGCGATGTTCGCAAAAGCTACTTGAGCTGGGAATCGTGCACAGTGCACACGGATGCCGGGTAAAAATAAAGAAACTCAGGCAGGACTATAACAAAATTAAAGACCACAATAATAAGAGTGGTAACGATTTTCTATTGTTATTATATATATATATATTGCCACTGTTTTTAATACTGACCCCTAACTTGCACTAAGGTGTGTCTGCTGTTATATATATTGCCACTGTTACATTGTTTTGAAACTACTTACACTTTATTTTACATTTCACACTTTTATTTAACTTCAATTTACACGCATACGACACACCTGGAACAGCGTGATGCCGTTATTGTTATGTCTTGACTGTGCAATAAAACAAACAAACTGGCGAAGCTTTATTTATTGTGTCCCACCCCAAATTTGCAGAATAGAAGAATGTGAGAGCAGACAGGTGTCGGTGGTTGAATTTATCTACGATGTTGCAACCTTGTGCAGCAATGGCACGGGCAGAAACACAAGTCTTACACACATAAACACAAGTAATTTATCATGTCATTTGTTTTAGATAAATAAGGGAAAAACACCAAACAAGGGTTAATATCCTTTTCCAAAATCAGCCTGAGGGGGTAATATATAATAAATACATAAAGATAAAGTCCATTGTTATAATGGGGTATTTTATTTGTAAATTACCCTTATGAACTCCATCATGTCTGAGGTCGGAAAGTAAACAAACGCCTCATACAGCGGGTGGTCTTTATACCCCCTCCCCCGTGTAGTTCTTCTTCTCTCGTTTTTTGTTGTACTCGCCGTGAAGTGGTTTTGCGGCCTGCCAGTAAACCCAGAGAAGAAGAAGACGAAGTGACGTCAGCGTAATCTTGCCTCATGGGAAAGTCCTGCGGTGTGAATGCGATTGGCACTAGCCCCCTGGCGGATTCAGTGCCGTGGTACTTTAGTGCCGGCACTAAAGAACGGCAAGTCCTGCGGTGTGAAAGCGGCTAATGATGGGATCGGAGACTAAAAGCTTTAGGAATCCAAACTATAACATAATAAGTACCAGGGCTGCCTCTTGCCAACTTGTGGCCCCACACAAAGTGATGTGATGAGGCCCTCTGTGTCTCTGAGGATTATCAGTAATCATTTCAAAGTGACACAGAGACATTGGATTAACCTTCAGCAGCGTTTGTATGCGTTTTAATGCCAATGAACACAACTTTTGATCAGAAAACAGCAACGGTTTTTTTCGTGCAATATTGTTGTGCATGGGGCTTAACTGGCTAAGTGACTACTACATTCAACTGACTCCTTTTATTCTCAATTAAAGGTTCATTCCATTTTAATATACATCACATTTCAATTGTAAACATAAATATAATTTCTGAAAGATAAATCTTCCAATGTTGACATTTCACTAAACAGGCAACGTTTGAATGCAGATAATAGTTTCAGTGCAATAACATTGCACTTCTTAGACACTGTGCTGTTTAATTAATTGTTCTCATTATAAATGTGTAAAATTATTATTCACCGAACACACTTTACAGTCCAGTGCACAGTTCTCCTTTTACTAAGAATATTCACCCATGGTTAGATTGTCTACCCATCATAAATATAAATAAATTACTACGAGTTAGTTTATTCTCTCAATTTGAGGTACAAACCACTTTGTTTAATAGTATTGACATTTTTTAACACAAGGGATTATACCCTTAATAATTAAATGGATTTACATTTTCATACAGGACTTCAAGTTGTTGATATAATAAAAAAAGATCAGATAAATTGTTCTTAAGCTATCACAAGGACAGAGGCTCTCAAAGTGAGGTGGGTGGCTCTTAAAAGAGCCTTTGTGTGTTTCAGTCAGATGAGTTTATCCCCCGAAGCCGTACAGGGTGCGGCCCTGCCTCTTCAGAGCGTACACCACATCCATGGCGGTCACCGTCTTCCTCTTGGCGTGCTCGGTGTAGGTGACGGCATCGCGGATCACGTTCTCCAGGAACACCTTCAGCACCCCGCGGGTCTCCTCGTAGATCAGACCGGAGATACGCTTCACTCCGCCGCGGCGAGCCAGACGGCGGATGGCGGGCTTGGTGATGCCCTGGATGTTATCACGGAGCACTTTGCGGTGGCGCTTAGCGCCTCCTTTGCCGAGTCCCTTTCCGCCCTTTCCTCTTCCAGACATAATTGCAGAGTTATGATGTACTCACTATGGATATCGCCCATATTTAAAGCTGATATGCGGACCTGGTTGAAGACACCCTGGTTAATTCTAGCCCGCCATTTTGTCCTGTTCCTTTGTTCCCTCTCTGCTGCTCTTTTCACACACCGTGAGCGGATGCGTTTCCGGTTACGACAACCATCCTTCAAAATAAAAACCAGCAAATGGTTTCACAATTTCACATTTTGACACAAGCAATAAAATCATCTAATAATGTCGTTTGTATCTCATTTATTTAGTGCATGTATTACACCATATTAACCTCCAACATTGCATTTTGTAGGCCTGATGCTAACCAACTGCTATTTAGTTTTTTTATATAATTATTTCACATTTAAATGTAATATTTACATAAACTTATATATTAAGATATAGTTAGAAATGGTATATGTATCTTAAAGTTAGTGATATTTTATTATTAAAACTGGTTTGCATGTTTCTCAAATACTTCCTCAGAGACAGAGTTAGGGTGTGTAGTTTTGTAAAATATTATAACAACTCAAAGATATTGTTAAGGACATGTCAAACTTTCAGAGCAATTTAAAGTACATACTACATTTCTTATAAATGTTGTCGACCACAAAATACAAGGCGACCAGGCAAAACCACATATTGTGAAACACGCCCAGACACAGAAATGTAAGTGAAAATAAATGCAGAAATACATTAAAGATATATAATAATGTGTGTTCTGTATTATTCTCACATTTTATTTGTGTATTTATATTCCTGTTTTTTCCCCTGTATTTCTGCATTTCATGTATTTGTTTACTCGTGTCACGCTCTTTCCTGCATAGCTGTGTACTCGTTGTGCGCATAAAGGTACAAATTCACTCAAAATCACAGCGGGAACTTTAGTTGGGCGTTCGTTGTTTTGGGCTCAACACATACCTTATTTTGGTTTCAAACCCTGCTTAAGTTTTGCACCAAATGACACATCCCCATTGTAGCCATCCACAGACAGATGGGAGAGGACGAGGGAGAAAATGAAATGCAGGAAGTGTTGATTGGCCGAGAAAAGACAGACAAAGTGAATTAAGAGTGAATGCCAGTGTTTTCAGGTAGAATCAGCATGTGGGCCGTGGCTCAGGTGGAAGGCAGCTGACTTCCAGCTACATGTAATAATGTAGTTAATACATGTATACGTTGATGTTGTTGAGCCTTTCTGAGGCTATAACTTCGTAAAGTTGAAAAATAATATTCAGGAATAGAAATCCCTCTTTACAAAAGTGTCTGTTTGCAGTGTTTCCCAGCCTCCTTAGGCTTTTCAATCGTTACACTTGAATAAATACAATATTGATTACATGAAAATATGATTGAATCTTCATGGTTCAGTTATTCTAAGGCTTTCCTCATTGGGAACGGAAAAAGAAAGGTCACGCTGTTGAGATGTCTCATCTCAGTGGCAGAATAGTATAGTCATAACAATACTTATAATAATTGTATTTACATTCAATACAAACTAAATATTTAGGATTAAAAACTCACTTAATAAAATACACAAAACATCATTATTCATGTATGAATTATATTCTTTAAATACTGTTTATAGCTCTACTATTTTCTGCTTGACTACATTATTGTTATAGAGATACATTTCCATTATTCATTGAATTCATTTGAATATAAAATGTACCCAAAATACATTTAGATTAATAAGGTCAAGTTTCATTTATTATTTATTCATGATATTTAATTAATAAATGAAACCCTAAAATAACACGTTGATATTGGTCCTGCTTTTCTACTGGCCGGACTTTCATGTGATTATTTACTAACCTGCTATATATCATTTAAAATGAGCATATTTAGTAGTTTCACTGATTGTGAGGAATATACAGTATTACTTCAAACTAGTAGTCGCTTATAAAAACACTATGGTCGATTTCAAAGTGTTTGCATTATAACCAATTTCTATGGAAATGTCTATAATAATTATAATATACTTTGTATTAGCTAACATATAACTTATACTTTTGTCCAAATCAACTGAAAATAAGTGCAGAAACCGAATGTATGTTTGTATAAATATACCTTTATATCCAGATTGTATTGTTAAACAAAGCAAACTAATGTAAATGTTCCAGGTCAGGTACTAGTACAATGTACTTCAGATAATATTGGAATATTGAGGTAAATTCCATGTGGTATGAAAGCACAACATGGAATATTAGAATATATAGTGTGTCATGTGGTGATGTACACAAAACATGTATGTTTTGTTCAAATTGTATTTATGCTAAATTATATATTATTATATAGGAGAGTGCTCTTTCGGTGTATGTGGGTGGCTCTTAAAAGAGCCTTTTGGAGATGAAGTAGAGGATCTGTTTACTTCCTCGATGATTTCCTGGCTGGTGCCTTCTTCGCTGCTTTGGCAGCTGGTTTAACCGCCTTCTTCACAGCCTTCTTGGGGGTTACTGTCTTCTTGGGGGTCGCTGCCTTCTTGGGGGTCGCTGCCTTCTTGGGGGTCGCTGCCTTCTTGGCCGCCACCTTCTTCTTCGGGCTCTTAGTGATCTTCTTCACTGGGGTTTTATTGGCAGCAGTAGCAGGCTTCTTCGCTACCTTCTTGGGGGTTACTGCCTTCTTGGCCGCCACCTTCTTCTTCGGGCTCTTAGTGATCTTCTTCACGGGGGTTTTCTTGGCAGCAGTAGCAGGCTTCTTCGCTACCTTCTTGGGAGTTACTGCCTTCTTGGCAGCTGGCTTCTTAGCGGCGGGTTTCTTCGCTGCTGCTGCTGCCGGCTTCTTGGCTTTGGCTGCGGGCTTCTTCGCTACCTTCTTGGGCTTCTCGGCGGCCTTGGCTGCCTTGAAGGAGCCGCTGGCTCCGATTCCCTTGACCTGCACCAGGGCTCCATTCTCGAGTAACCTCTTCACGGCGCGTTTAATGATAGCGGTGTGTTCGTAGCCCTGAGCGGCCAGCGCCTTCTTCACCGCGATGTAAGAGATCCCTTTACGGTCCTTGGAGGCGGTGACCGCCTTCAAGATGAGCTGAGCGGCTCTGGGACCAAGCTTCTTGGCCGGCTTGGCTGCCTTCTTCTTCGGGGACTTGGCTGGTGCCTTTGCCGGGGCGGCGGCGGCGGAGACTTCAGTGGGAGCTTCTTCTGTGGCCATGATGCTGTCAGGAGGATTCTCGGTCTGATGAGACGGAGAGAGAAATCCCAGCGAAGAGAGGAACTTAAACTCACCATGAGAACCGTAGAGACTCAACTCAGTGGCTCACACAGGAGCTGCTGAAAAACTGTGCCACTTTGTGCTTTCTCTTCAGATAAAACTGTAAAAAATACACATTTAGAGAATTAGTTGACTTTCAAAGGTTAATCGAATTGATAGCGGATTACTTTATCTTCATATAGAAGTGAAATACAACTTTAAATATTGTTGTGTTTTCATTGGGAAGGCTTTAAACCTCCTAAAACTGCTGCCGTGAGTGGTACAGATCTGCGACTTTTCTCTGTAATCTCTCTCTTAAAGGATTTAAAATACATTGTAATCCCCCTAAAACTTGTAATATAGTGAAATGAAATGTTGGATGAAAGACTCAATATGAAAGAATTCCACAGTTGTCAACACCTTTTTGTTAAACAGAGGTAATTCTGCTGTCTGCAAACACACTCCCATCAGGACAGGCCCTGGCTGTGTTCTAAATACAGTCTTTGTTACCCAACAGTGAGAGACCTTCATTTAGCACCCCTTACGAAAATGAACTATAGTATTACTATAGTATACTATAAGAGTTGTATAGTATCCTATAGTAAGTTTGTAGAGTTATATAGTATTTTTCACCAGCTATCGTATTACTATAGTCTTTTCTGTAGTGCCATTTTACTAGCTATAGTAGCCCTATAATATTTCAATAGTAATACTATGTATCTAGATATTTGTAGTATTCCTATATTATTTTCAATATTATAACTATAGTATAATATATAGTGTTTCTGTAGTTGTTTTTCGAACACACTATAGACCACTCCTATAGTAATAGTAATGTATGCATATTATTACCATAGTGTTTGTAAAAGTATTACACTCCCAGAATTAATGTGTCATTTTTTTTTTTAAACACACTGCTGTGTCAAAGGCAATTCAACACATTCAGTGTCATTTCTGAACTATTTTACACACATTTGTGTACCAGGGTTTCCGCTAGGATTTTTTCTCGCCGGACAGAATTTATTTTACCGGACAAATTTGAAACTTACCGGTCATGTTTCAATAATAATAATAAGAATTGTGTTGCAGAGTTTCTGTTAGCAGGTAATTACCGGACTATGACCGGATATGCTGATGTTTAAAACTCAGTTAATGGGAGTCATTTTTATATTGCTTCAGTTTATAATCGTTACAGATCGAACAATTCAGATTCATTTTTCAATAAATGATTCCACAAACATCATTATTACATTCAAACAAAAATACTTGTAGTAGATGAAGTACATTATTCAAAAGTTTACATTAACTTTGAATAATAACACGGGAGAAACGGAATAATGATCCTCTCTTTTCCTCCCTCCCTCCCTCCTGAAAGCCCGTCAGTTTCTCATGCAGCTTGCTAAACAGTGGGCGGGGCTTCAGGTGATTGTTGAATTATGAAATGTAATATATGAATTCTGTTTATTTAATACTCTTATACTAATCACTTCCTGTATTCCCGTGATAAAAGGGACATGCGCAATAAAACGTGTCACTTCCGTTTGAAGCACAGCTGATGGTGTATGTGTGTATTTATTCCTCTGTCACGTTAACTATGTTCACGGTATTCCTGCCCTAAGATCATGGCATCGCTAACAGGTTATGGGCCCAGGAGGGACCATGGAAGCCGGTGGAACCGTTTGTGTTTCGACGGAGATGAGAAGAACTACGAGTTATGGGAGACAACGTTTTTGGGTCATCTGCGACTGCTAGGATTGAAGGCTGCCATCCTAGAGGAGCCAGGTGAAGAGGATGAGGCTGATGATCAGAAAAACGAAGAAGCCTATGCGGAATTGATCCAGGTACTGGACGATAAAAGCCTTTCACTGATCATGAGAGAAGCAGCGGACAACGGAAGAAAAGCGTTACAAATATTGAGGGACCACTACGCTGGGAAAGGGAAACCACGGGTGATCAGCCTCTACACTGAACTAACGTCGCTGCAGAAAGCCGCTAATGAGAGCGTCACTGACTATATTATTCGTGCCGAAACGGCAATTACAGCACTGAGAAATGCTGAAGAGACTCTTAGCGACGGGCTGCTGATAGCCATGATTTTAAAGGGACTGCCAATCTGTTTTAGGCCGTTTGCCATCCACATTACACAAGGGGATGAGAAGCTAACTTTTGGTGAGTTCAAAACAAAGTTGAGGAGCTATGAAAGCACAGAAAAATACAATGCCAACTTGAGTGAGGAATCTGATAATATTATGAAAGCGAGTGGCTGGGTGAAGTGGAGAGATGGCCCCAATATCACCTGCTACAACTGCGGTCAGAAAGGACACCGGGCTCGTGAGTGTCGAAGTGCGAGCAGCAAAAACCAGAGACAGTGGTGCAGTTTTTGCAAAAATTCCACACATATAGATGCAAACTGCAGACGCAAAGAGAGAGACAATGCTAAACAAGCAACTGACGTTGAGGACCACTCATTTGTTTTTAAAGTACGTGACAGTCCAGTAACCGGAGTTACACATAAAGGGCTGATGGTCGACACCGGAGCAACGTCACACATAATAACGAACATCGACAAGTTTAAAAGGTTCGATGAGACTTTTCAACCGAAAGACCACTTTGTTGAATTGGCTGACGGGACAAGAACAAGTGGTGTCGCTTTGAAGAAAGGAGAGGCGGAGGTCTGCCTGCAAGACACGGAGGGACGACGAGTGACAGCGATGCTGAAGGACGCGCTCTATATACCGTCCTATCCACAAGACATTTTCTCTGTTAAAGCAGCGACAGCCAACGGAGCATCAGTGAACTTTCGTCAGGGTTGTAACCAGCTGATTCACCAGAGAGGTAACATATTTGACATCAAGGAATATGATAGACTTTATTTTTTAAACACTGTGGACTGTGAAGCTGAGGACGATGCATGTTATGGATGTTATGACATTCAAACATGGCATGAAATACTTGGTCACTGTAACTATGATGATGTGTCACAACTGGAAAAAGTCACTGAGGGGATGAAAATTAAGGGTGGGATTGATAAATCTAACCTTAACTGTGAAGTGTGTACTCGAGGTAAATTTGCTCAGAGTAGGAACAGACAACCAGATGCAAGAGCTAAAGCAGCGCTCAATCTTGTGCACACTGATTTAGCAGGTCCCATTGAGCCAGAGGCTAAGGAGGGATTCAGATACACAATGGCTTTTACAGATGACTTTTCAGGGGCAGTATTTGTGTATTTCCTAAAAGCTAAAAGTGATACTTTCAAAGCCACAGAAAAATTCATTGCTGATGTCGCACCTTATGGTAAAATCAAATGTATAAGGTCTGATAACGGTACAGAATTCACCGGGACAAACTTTCAATCGCTCCTTAGACAACATGCAATACGACATGAAACTTCAGCACCTTACTCACCCCATCAAAATGGGACAGCTGAGAGAAACTGGAGAACACTTTTTGAAATGGCAAGATGCATGCTTCTTGAGAGCAATTTACCAAAGAAGCTATGGACATATGCCGTCATGACTGCAGCTGTAATACGTAACAGATGTTACAACAGACGTGTAGGACAGACACCTTATTATATGCTGACAGGACGTAAGCCGAACCTCTCGAAAATGAATATATTTGGATCTGTATGCTATGCATACAAGCAGGAAAAGAAAAAGTTAGACTCGAGGTGTGAGAAGGGTATTTTTGTAGGGTATGATAAAAACAGCCCAGCATACCTAGTCTACAACCCAGACACTGGTAGTGTTCGCAAACACAGGCAAGTGAAGTTTGTCACAAAAAGTATAGTCGAGCAACATACACAGACTGATTTTGAGGCAAGTGATGATGATTTTTATGAGAAAAGGTTTGTATCCACCAAGCCAGAAACCCAGGGGACTGACTCGTGTCCAAAAGAGACACAGGAGGCTCAAACTGAGACAGATGACACAAACACTCAGACAGGAAAGGGAGCAGAAGGTCAAAATAGAAGCTATCCCCAAAGAGAAAAGGAGGAGACCTCAGTATTTACAGGACTATGAATGTAAAGTACAGTGTGACGACCAGAAGTATGTAAATATTGACTACTGCTACAGAGTAATGTGTAATGTACCAAACACCTTTAAAGAGGCCATGAATTCAGCAGAGTCAAAACTCTGGACTGATGCTATGCAGGAGGAAATGAATTCTCTTAAGGAAAATGACACATTCACATTGACCACACTACCAGAGGGCAAAAATGCAGTGGGGGGTAGATGGGTCTATACAATCAAAGAAAACACAGAAAATGACTGTAAGCCAAGGTCCACCCCATGTGAACAGAAACACAACTTTGATGATGATGGTGAAGCTGTTGATGCAACACAATATCGTGAAGTGGTAGGCAGCTTAATATATTTAATGACATCTACACGGCCTGATCTAAGTTGGATAGTCAGTAAACTGTCACAGTATTTTTCAGAGCCAAAAGAACAACACTGTTTAACTGCTAAACATGTATTGAGGTACTTAAAGGGCACAATTAATCAGGAGCTATGTTTTAAACAACAAGATGAAAAACTGAAACTTGTTGCATACTGTGATGCGGATTGGGCAACAGACCAAAATGACAGACGGAGTATAACAGGGTACTGTTTTAGTCTAACTAGCAATGGGCCTGTTATTTCTTGGAGATCAAAGAAACAGCAAACAGTAGCTTTGTCGACATGTGAGGCAGAGTACGTGGCACTGGCTGCCACAGCACAAGAGAGTGTGTATCTTGTGCAGCTAATAGAGAGCATGGATAGTGAGGGTCAATATACTCCTGTAAAAATCTTTGAAGATAACCAGGGTGCAATTGCTCTATCCAAGAACCCAGTATGTCGTCAACGATGTAAACATGTGGATGTCAAGTATCATTTTGTTCGAACTGTACTGAGTGATAACATGATAACCATTGACTATTGCCCTACAGCTGATATGGTTGCTGATATTTTCACTAAGCCTGCAACAAAGGTAAAAAGTGAGACATTTGTAAAGTATTTG